AGAGAGACCGTAAAGCGTGGTGGTCTCATCGTGCCTCGGAGATGGAGACTACCGCTGCCCTTGGTAACCATCGGAAGTCATCCCGCCTGATACGAGAAACGGGCTGCAGCAGACTTAGTGTTAGCGAGACTATGCAATGAGAGTGGACAGTCGATCCACAGCTTGTCAAAGCGCTGAGAGCGTTGGGCCGACCACTTTGAGAAGCAGTTTAATCAGTCAGAGTTGCCAGGTTCTCCATCAGCCGATGATCACCCTACTACCTGGGCCGTCACCCTGGATCCGCCGCAATGCGCAGAAGTCGAACGTGAGATCAGACGTCTGAAATCGAACAAGACCACCGGAGCAGATGGACTTCATCCAGCCCTCTTCAAATTCGGGGGCCCTGCACTTTTGGACGATTTACATAACTAATGAATATATGGAAGCAGGAGACTATCTCAATCAACTGGGGTCACTGTTATATTCCCAATTTTCAAGGGGGCTCCCGTTCAGAATGCAGCAGTTATAGAGGAATCAGTCTAATCTCAATTGCCTCTAATTTACTTGCTTCTGTCCTACTCCAATACTAACTGGCACCCCTGAAAGCCGGATGCATGAGGAGCTGGCCGGGTTTCGTCAAAATCGAGGCTGCACGAATCACATCTTCGCATTACGTCAATTGTTGGAGCACTGACATGTTTATTGGTGATCCACCGTAGTCGTATTCCTAGACATCAAAGGGGCTTTCGATTCCAAGAATCTATGTGCCCTTTAAGACTGTCTAATGAGGTAGAATGTGCTCGAGAAATACGTGAACATTATCAAAGCGCTGTACACGAATAGTTCGGGCAAAGTAAGGATTTAAGGCAAATTTTCGCCACCCTTCAATATCTTCAGCAGTGTGAGACAAGGTTGCCCGCTGTCACCTTTCCTCCTTAACTTCGCTATTGTTGAAGTTGTGAAGATCGCGTCGATAGGATACGACTTGGAAGGTGTGGCGCTGCTCCTAGGTGAATGACTTTACTTGGATTATGATGACAGCATTGCGCTTATCTGTGACAACCCACAAACGTGCCAAGCTGCGCTGGATATATATATATATATATATATATATATATATATATATATATATATATATATATATATATATATATATATATATATATATATATATATATATATAGGGGGTGAGCCTATGGTGCGCTGAGGCTAGTCGTGGCTAGATCCTGACAGATGATCTACCCACTGCTGCTACTGTTGCGCCATTGGCTCATGTCCTGGACGCCTCCTCGTGGCTGCTGCTGGGTGGGATTTGGGTTTCGCCCTTCTCCCTGCTAAGATCCAGGACACCAATCCGCATGAGTCAGTGAACTGACCATGTGCTAGACCCGCTGCCTTTCGGTTGTACATTTAATCGAAGGCTTTGGCTGAGGACCCAAGTCGTTCTCCTGTCAGGAGTGGGCGCCCTGGCAGTATCCTGGTCCATCCTCTTCGGAGGTTAGGAAGTGGTCGATGGCCCTCTTCCCGTAAAAGATAGCCATGGGAGACAACAGGTCTACAGGTTATAAGCTCACAGCTCGATTGGCGTAGAGCACGAGCGCTACGCATTGTCTCTGACGGTGGGAGGGCGCCTCTGGGTGTTCAATGGTTTGCTACTGCCCGCCTCAAGCCAGGCAGCCCCTGGTCAAATTGGTGCAAACCCGCCAAAACCCACCTACCTCTGGCCGTGGTCGCAGGTGCGTATCCTACTACGGTCGCAAAACATATATAAAACGTTCCAGTACCTCAAAGGCTGCGTGTGACGGCCGTCAAGCAGATCCCAATCTGTCTCTGCAATCACATTCCTGAGCTGGATCTGCTCCCCACTGTCTTGTGGGTCAGGCTATTGAGCCAAAGGCTCCGGGCGGAGTCCCTCAAGCAAACCTCCAAACTACCCACTGCCTTGTGGGTCAGGCTATTAAGCCAAAGTCTCCGGACGGAGTCTCTCAAGCAAATCGAAGCACAACGACCACCTTGCGTGCGATTGCCCACCAATGCAGTCGTATGCCTGCGCGCAAAGCACTCAGCATCGGGTGCTGGAACGTGCGCACACTACTGTACGGGAACTCCAGCGAGCGCCCGGAGCGACTCACTGCACTGGTCGCGATGGAGCTGGCGCGCTACCACATCGATATTGTAGCGCTCAGTGAAACCCGGCTCGTTGAGCAAGGTAAGTTGCATGAAGCAGGTGTTGGCTGCACATTCTAATGGGTGGGCAACGCCGCCTCAGCACCACGTGAACATGGGGTCGGATTTGCAATATCCGATCGCCTCCATGGCCAGCTGGTGGATGAACCAACGGGCATCAGCGCGCGACTGATGACTGTTCGCCTACGACTCGGAAGACGTAAGTTTGCCACCTTTATAAGCACGTACAGTCCGACCATGTGTTATCCTGATGACACGCGTGATCAGTTCTACACTGAGCTATCCTCCGTGATACGGTCTGTGCCGAGGAGCGACCGACTATTTCTGCTGGGTGATTTCAACGCGTGCGTTGGGCGTGATGCGTCAGCGTGGACAGATGTTATCGGTGCGCATGGCATTGGCTCAGCGAATGCGAACGGTGACAGGCTGCTCTCACTGTGTGCCACTCACGGCCTGACGATCACGAACACTCGGTTTGCACTGAGTGCGAGTGATATAGCAACTTGGACGCACCCACGGAGTGGTCACGCTCACCTGCTCGACTATATCATCGTACGTCAGCGTGATATGCGTGAAGTGCGCATGACACGTATACTGCGTGGAGCTGAGTGTGGCACTGATCACAAGTTGGTGCGGACCAAACTGTACATATATTTTCGTAAATCGATGTATTGCACTCCCGCCGTGAATCGGCTTAAATTTAACCTTCTCTCCCTCGGTACTGTGGCGAAACGTACTGAGCTGGAGAAGACGATGGCTGCACGCCTGTGTGATGTGGACTGCATAGCCACAGTGGGCGACCTGTAGCACCACATTCGCGACCAGGTGACAGCTGCTGCCGAGGAGACCATCGGGCGCGCAAACTGTAAGCTACCTGATTGGTATGATTAGAACAATGCGACGACTGGTGCGTTGGTGTCGGGGAAGAATGCAGCATTTGCTGCACATGTTGCAGACCCCAGTGATTTGGAAAAGAAGAGTCAGTTTCGCAAACTTCGATGGCGACTGACCCGAGAGCTCCGTCGCATTAAAAATGCATGGTGGACGGAGAAGGCGAAGCAGATGGAATGCTAAGCCGAACGCCGCCAACACAAGGAATTCGTTGACTGCTTGAAGGTGGTGTATGGACCGAGGTTGGAGCCGCTGATGACACTGATCGATGGTAGTTCAGGCGCTACCTGCACACAGACTGCAGACATAATGCAGATCTGGCGGAAACACTTTGGCTGTCTCTTGAACAACCGTTCAGAGATCGACTGGCCTACATTGAACGGCCTCAAGCAGCACGATGTGAAGACGAGTCTGGCGGACACGCCGACACTGGATGAGACGCAGAGAGCACTTGCTCAGCTGCGAAACGGCAAGTGTGCCGGTGCCGACGGGATCCCGCCTGAAGTATTGAAACACGGCGGACCCGCGTTGTTGACTGCGCTGCACCACTTGGTGCAACGCGTATGTATTGAGGAGGAGGTGCCTCCTGAGCTGAAGGATGCCCTTGTGCTACCACTGTACAAGGGCAAAGGTAGCAAGCAATGTTGCACGAATTATCGTGGCATCCATTTGCTGAGTTGTGTGGGCAAGGTGATTGCCCGAATCCTGCTCAGCCGCCTCGTCAGTCAGGTTGTGGAACCTAACGTGGCGGAAGAGCAATGCGGATTCCGTTCGGGTCGCAGCACTATAGATATGGTGTTTGCGGCTCGTCAGTTGCAAGAGAAGTGCAGATATCGACACCAGCCTTGGTACTCGGTTGTTGTTGATTTCACCAAGGCATTTGATACGGTGAACCGCGAGGCATTGTGGTTGGTGTTGGGTTGGTTTGGTTGCCCGCGTAAGTTTGTAAGTTGAATTGTATGTCTGCACAGTGGTATGCGAGCGAGGGTGCAGCTGAGTGGAGAGACCTCGGATGACTTTGCAGTTGTCACTGGTGTGAAGCAAGGCTGTGTCTTAGCTCCTGCCCTGTTTAATATATATCTTCATGCAATGTTGTCCTGTGCTTTAGATGCCGCTTGTGCTTACGGTGTTCGTGTGGAGCACCGTATTGATGGTGGGTTGCTGAACATCCGTCGTTTCGGTGCAAGAGCTCTAGTCTGTGAGACAACTATCCGTATGTTGCTGTTTGCTGACGACTGTGCGTTGTTTTCACACAGCGCGGATGAGTTGCAGCACATGACTAGTGCTCTGGCTTCGACAGCGGCCAAATTTGGGCTCACCATCAACACAAGCAAAACTGTCTGTCTCTTTCAGCCTTCACCGGAGGTGCAATCTTCAATATTGCCGCGAATCAGCATTGGTGCTGAAGTATTGGAAACCACCTCCCGCTTCTGCTACCTTGGGAGTGTGATGTCGACTGATCAGCAGCTACACAGTGAGCTGCGTATCCGCGTGTCGAAGGCAGCGGCGGCATTCGGAAACCTCGAGTACTGAGTGTGGAACAACCATCAACTTACCATTGGCACGGAGCTGATGGTGTACAAATCCATGGTGCTGTCCGTTCTTCTATACGGCAGTGAAACGTGGACGATGTACCGGCGGGATGTGCGATATCTCGAGCGGTTTCATCAGCAGTGCCTGCGACGGATTTTGCGCATCGGCTGGGGCGACAGAGTTGCAGACACGGAAGTGTTGCGCCGAAGTGGGATGTATGCAGTGGACTGCATACTTTTATTGAGACACCTGAGGTGGCTCGGTCATGTAAGCCGTATGGATTCGACTCGGATACCGAAGCAGCTATTATATGGTCAGCTGAGTATTGGGAAGCGGCATGTGGGGAAACCAAAGTTACGTTACCAGGACATGATTAAAGTGTGCCTCACACGTTCTAATCTTGATTGCAGATCATGGGAATCGAAGGCGTTTGGTCGGCGTGCATGGCGCGATCTGATCACGAAGGCAGTTGCCGAGGTGCAGGAGAAAAACCTCATACATGCAGAGAAGAAGCGGCAAGTGCAGAAGCGCCAAGCACCGATGGGTTGTTCTCCATGGACATCAAGCGCATGGTGCTGTAGCACATGCGGTCGCGAGTGCCTGAGTCAGTCAGGCTTAGTGAGCCATGAGCGAGGCCACTCGAGACTACTACCGAATCGACGACGGTTCCTGCAGAGAACGTAGGCAGAACCAGCGCAGCGTTTGTAGGTACGTTGCATTCGATTTACTAACCGCGTGCTTGCATGCTAAGTCTATTTATTTCAGGTGATGGGTTTTCAGTTTTGTCCTAATGCCTTTCTTTCTCATATAATTATCTGGTGAGCCATGAGCGAGGCCACTCGGAACCACTACAGAAGCGACGACGGGTCCTACAGAGAAGTATTCAGAACCGGCGCAGCGTTCGTAGGTACGCTGCATTCGATCTACTAACCGCGTGCTTGCATGCTAAATCTCTTTATTTCAGGTCTTTGGTTTTCAATTTTGCCTTAATGCTTTTCTTTCTCATATAAATGTCTACCTGTACTCTAGTCCATTAACTTGCACACCTCGCTTAAGCCAATTGTATTCGATTTTCATAACATTTTTGTGTTCGTGGCATTTCCGTAAAGCATGCTTTCTGACCTCGTGAACTTATCTAGGATTCGTTTGTAAACAACTTATTTCATATGCTCACTAACTTAAGGTTTATGTCACCGTTTCTTTGTATCTCTCTCTCAAGTGATTTGCTGTTGTTTGATATCCCCGTTGTGGCTGCGCTTGATGTGCTTCTTGACAAGGTAGCTACCTGTCTACAACCCACTACCTCGTCCACACTGGCTCCAGCAGACAGTTGGTCGTTGCTGGAGGGGACGGGGTGCACGGTCCTTGTGTCCGTGTTAGGATCAAAGAGTGGTTCCATGCACTCAGTGTGGAGCGGAGTACGGTCCAGCCACCGCCTTGTGTGCGGTTGATTCCCAAATACAGCATGCTTGTGTTTGCCTGTGAAGGAGTGTGGGCCGGCTCAGTTGATGAAACGTGGCTCCCATCCGCATGCCTCCCGGTCTTATTCCTTCGGGTTTACACTGGATATGGGGTGTGTGGATGGAGCTGTGGGTGGTGCAGCTCATATATATATATATATATATATATATATATATATATATATATATATATATATATATATATATATATATATATATATATATATATGATGTGTCGTTGGTGGCATCCGGTTTCGGACTTGCCTGTCACTGTGGCCTCCACAGGGACAGCCACAGAACGCCTGTGCCTACAGAGACCACGGGTGGCTTGCGCTGCACCACCCACAGCTCCACCCACACACCCCATATCCACTGTAAACCCGAAGGAATAAGACCGGGAGGCATGTGGATGAGAGCCATGTTTCCTCAACGGATCCGGCCCACACTGCTTCACAGGAAAACACAAGCACGCTATGTTTGGGGAATCAACTGCACACGAGGCGGTGGTTGGCCCGTAATCCGCTCCACACTGCGTGCATGAAACCACTCTTCGAGCTTAGCACAGCCACAAGGACTGTGCATCTTGTCCCCTCCAGCAACGAGCAACTGTCTGCTGGAGCCAATGTGGACGAGGTAGTGGGTTGTAGACAGGTAGCTACCTTGTCAAGATGCACATCAAGCGCAGCCACACCGGGGATGTCAACAAACAGCCAATCACTTATGATCACAACATAAAATAAAATGTATCTGTGAAAGCATACGTCCATGCAGAAATAACTCTTCACTAAATCAGCATATGAAGTAAGTTGGTTATCAACGAATAAGCGACAAGTACAAAATGTCTACAAGTTACTCGAAAAATGCTACAAATGCAATAAGATTAAAGAGGATAAGCGCAATTAGCGTAAGAATCGTGTGCAAGTTAGTAAACGATTATTCAGGTAGGCGGAACAAACCAGTTAAAGTGGAATGAAATTTATCCAGCTTAAAAAGACCTAGTTTAAGTGTATGTTGATTTAGCCCAACTGCGGTGAAGAGGCATCATGAATGTAACATTGAATATATATATATATATATATACCCTGCCCGAGGTCAGACCACAGAGTGCGCAGTATGGAGACGAACTTCTCGGGTGTTATAATCTCACTATACGCGATTCCGAAATTGACACTTTACTGCTCTACAAAACTTCTAGCCCAACCGAAGGAAAAAGCAGAACGCCAATGATCCTGACAAATTAGCGTATTAATCACCGCCAACAAACGCTGTACAACTACAGCAGACCTTGGCTGTATTTATAAGTCTCTTACTGACCTTCGACTTCTACAATTGGTAGGTCAGCTACCAAGGTTAGTGGTTCCCTATATCTTTTGCCGAGGTGTCGGGTGGTTTGTAGTCACGTGCAGGAACTCGAACACTCATGAACGTTCGAAATCAATGCGATAATCGTTACTAATCGATTACTCGCTAATATAGTGGATTTCCTAGGCAATTCTTACTTTCTCACAGACACCTCCTCTCCTTAGATATTGTCCGAGGTATACGACGAAAGCCTAAGATTAACTTTCAGTCTTCGGGACGGTGTTCTCTGCCTGTCGGTCTATCTCCTTGGCAGAAGTGCGCGGGAACTGTGTTCCGATGTCCGTGTTCTGGATTCTTTGCTCGACTGTGTGCAATCGTCCACTGCTATCTTCGGCAAGTTGAAGCTTTCCATGAGAAATACTTCAGGTTACTTGCTGTATGGGTTGACTATAATGAGGAAACTTCAGCCGTTGATCGGTCCTGCAAAGTCGACATCAATGCGGCAACATGGCGTAGTAGCTTATGGCCAAGAATAGAGTTCTGATTTTTGGGGCGCTTTCAAGACATTGGTGCACTTTTGACAGCCTTTACCTATTTCTTCTAGCTGTTTGTCCATGAACGCCCAGTATACATAACTGCGGGCAAGCGCCTTCATCTGGTTGATTCCAAGATGTCCGGCGTGGAACTGCCGAATAAGGCGCCCCTGAAGTGCCTTGGAGATGACCACTGTTTCCGAAAATAGTATGCGGACGTTTACAATAGAGAGCGAGTGTCTCCGCTGGAAGTACTGTTGCAACTCGGCAGATAGACATGAACGCGGCCAACTTGTTTTGAGAAACTGTGTAACTTTCTTGAGTACTGGGTCCCGGAGTGTTTCGGTTCGTACAGCTTCTGTGGTAACTGGTAGACCGTGCAATGCATCAGTTACCAGAAAGTTGACGTCAGGTTCAATCTCGACCGAGACACTGATTGTGTCCTCATGTTCTTTCTGATGAGCGTCAATTAGGCGTGACATTGCATCCGCTTTGCCAATGGAAATTGTCGACTGGTAGTGGATCTCAAAATCATACCCCATTAAGGGAAGAGCCCAACGTTGTAGCCGTGGCTGTGTAGGCCGGGATGTCCTTTTTCGAACCAAAGATAGCCAGCAAGGGCTTGTGATCTGTCAGAAGCTTGAAGCGGCGGCCGTGCAGCATTTTGTGGAATTTTCGACCGCGTACACTGTGGCCAATGCTTCTTTCTCAACCTGGCTGTACTTCCTCTCGGCCTTCTCAAGTGTTCTGGCTGCATGGGTGACTGCTTTCTGAGATCCATCGGTGTACATGTGTGAAATTACTGCGCCAATCCCATGGCTTGATGCATCTGTGGTTATTACAGTCTCTCTGGAGGGATCGAAATGAGTCAAAAGCAAGTTTGGGGACAGCAGTGTCTTGACCCGTTCGAAGACATTCTGATGTCCAGTTCCAAGCTTGGCCTTTTTCTAGTAGCTTGTTTAAGGAAGCACGCAGGCGGTGCATCTCAGGCAAGAATGCGCTGTAGTTGTACAGTGTTTGTTGGCGGCGATTAATACGTTATTTTGTCAAGGTCATTGACGTTCTGCTTTTTCCTTCGGTTGGGCTAGAAGTTTTGTGGAGCAGTAACGTGTCAATTTCGGAGTCGCGTCTCGTGAGTAGATTATAACAAATGGCGACAGAGAAAATTGGAAATATGATGACTTTTTCTGCTAAACAATTTCAAAAGCTGCTTTTCCAACAACAATCTCAAGTGGAGGCACAAATGAAAATGATCCAAAAACTGACACAATGCTTGAGTTTTCAGATAACAGGAGCAGCGACGCGGGACATGCAGGCGAGTTCTGTTGGTCTTCTCACGAATGCATCGGGGACGCCGTTTCTCAGTAGGCAGTGCCACAGTACAGTCCGATCGACAGAATCGAAGGCTGCACGGATATCCAAGAACACAGCAATCATTGGCCTCTGATGCACATGGCGGAGCTCGAAGATCTGGCGGGATATGAAGATTTGATCGATACAGCCGCGAACCGTATAGCGCGAGCTCGGGGTTCTTTTTCCAATCTCCGCCACCTGTGGTGCCGGCGTGACATCACTCTCGTTCTGAAAGGCAGAGTTTACAACGCAGCCGTCCGTTCAACCCTCTTTTACGTTTGCGAAACCTGGCCCATTAGATCAGCCAACCCAAAGAGGCTAGTTACGTTCGACCATTGCTGTCTACGAAGCTTAGCTCATGTCTGGTGTAAACACTGCATGATCAATGAGCGTGTTCGGCGTCGCGTATTTGGTGCAGGATAAACTAATGTACTGCTCAGCGGCACTATATCACGCACCAGGCTCCGATGGTTAGGCCACGTGTTGCACATGCCAGCACGCCGACTCCCGCGACGTGCGCTGTTTGCGCGTCCGGGGTCTGGATGGAATTCGAGAAGGGGAGTCCAAGCGATGACTTTGTTTAGAGGAATGAAGTCCCTCACTTCGAAGTAAGCGTCGGTTGACGTTTACTGAATGCCTGGCTAGGATCCGAAGGACGATGAACACGTTTGATTAGATATACTTGTTGACATGGCAAGGAGCCAAACTCAACTGCGCTTGTGTTGTTTGTCTCTGTCCCTCCCATACCCTTTAGCTTCCCCTCGAACAACGACCACACCCCAATGCATACTGTGATTTTAGCATTGTTACTTTTTTAGCTTTCGTAATCTTTAGTGTTTAATCTCATCATTTTTGCATTGCGGCACATTAGCTGGGGTGTTTTCTCACCCTCGACTAATGTGTATGGATGATGAGTATGACTCAAACTGTCTTCGATTATTTTTACGTAAACATGGCTATCATACTTTTGGGGAGCAGGACGTGGGTAGTTCATTGCTCAGGCTTGAATTATCCAACGTATGTCTGGATTGGGAGACGCAATTTAAGTTGAGCCCACGGTTTACTTTGAAGCAACTTTTTGCCACTTTGATCACCGGGGTCGCGTCCAAAGTGGAGAGCTTTTTAGCTGTAGGAGTGTAGGGAGTAGCTCCGAAATTCTTCTCGCAGGATGTGGAGAACTTGATTCATTAATGTATTTATGTATGTACTGTCGTAGCTCGTTGAGTTACGCTTATCATCGCACCTCACGCATTTCCACTCTCATTGCCATATAGCCTCGCTTTCTCTTGCCCCTCATTTTAGCTTTTCTTCTTTCCTTTTTTTCCCGTTTCTCTTATATTTCGGAACTTCTAACGCATCGTTACTCGCACCACCTCACTGCATGGTTGTCATCCCTACTAATTTGGCGACCCCGTTTAGTCCGTGAGGATTGGTTTTTTATGTAAGGAACACATTCCACTGTTTTCTTGTATGGGTTTTTATAGCTGACTTTGGCACGATCCCACATATTGATCCGCCTTCCTTAGATATCACGGCTGGGTTGGTTTTTTTCTAGCTTGTCATTTCCGTGAACTGGAACCATTTTACTCTATGTATCTACTGGTTACAACGGACAGACCCTGTCTGAAAAGTTGACAACGTCGTCTATTACCCAAGCCACAGGTCCACTGTTGACAGTTCATGCTGTTTTGGTTCGCACCGGCTCATTGAAGCTCTGTTTGACTGCTCACCGGTTTAAGCGTGCATGTATGTTGCTCCTAGCCACGTTAAATTCCAATGGATATTTAAAGCAGTTAGTTCCCTTCAGCAATTTGAAAAGCACGGTAAGAATGCGAAAGCTGGTAGATGCATGCATTTCGTATTGTTTCCTCAATACCGTTAACAATAACCGCTATGCAACTATATACTTATTTATTGGTGTGACCAAATAAGCATGAGGTGCAAAATGAATGACAGAAGTTCCACCCCTATGTCCACGGCAGTCTTGAGGTGACAAATAATCGCTTTTGAACACACAGGGCTGGATTCATCTGGCTTATCGCAACGGCCTCGGCGAAACGGAGGAAGTGGGGATTAGGGTGACGTAACACAAGTGTGAATGCTGATCCAAGCTCTATCCGGTGACGTGTAGTCAGTATGTGTTTACTTATTGAGGGAGCTGGCGGTTTGCGCAAGCACGGCACTTCAGTGGGACAGGGATGCTGATCAATTTCACGTTGAACCCACCTTGGCACATGTTCCTTTATTCGGGAACTCAAAGAACGATCGGTTCTGCCTACGTAACTGTCTGCGCAGTCGCACACGAATTTGTATATGCAGTGTGAGTTGGCCCCGATCGGTTGAGTTTCCTTCGTTGGAGGCACCGGCAATTTACGGGTTCTATTGATGACCACAACCTGAGCAGCACAGTAGCTTCTTTACGTAACAGTGATTAAACCTTACATGCTTTTCGATGCAGTGAAGTCACCCTTGAAAGGCACTTCGATATAGATCATTTTCTTGGCTGCCGTATGCACCAAGCCTTTCGGGCCTCGCTGTTGGCTATGTTTCTCTATAAATCTACGGGGATAACCATTTGCCATAACTGTTTTTGTAATCAACTCTAGCTCGTCGGCTAGACAATCAGCCGAGCAAATTCGTCTAGCACGACTAACTATAGTTTTCACAAAGACCCGCTTGTACCGCATTGGTGTGAAGTTGGTGAGGTGCAGGTATTGGCCGGAGCATGTTACTCTTCTGTAGACAGCCCTCTTTATGAGCCCGTCATCCCTGCGACTGATGAGGATGTCTAGGAATGGCGGACAATTCTTCTGTTCCACTTCGCAGGTGACCCGCAAGTTGGCATGTACACAGTTGAGTTGCTGCTCCGACGAACCAAAGGCCAATATGTCTTCCACATAACGCTTCTAGTATAATAACTTGGCTATTTCTGCGGATATGCCTCTTTCTATCATCGACATGAAGAAATCGGCGAGTACTGATCCTGGTGGAACTTCCGTCATCGGTTTGGCACCTCATGCTTATTTGGTCACATCCAGAGTTAAGTATATAGTTGCATGCCGTTTTTTGTCAATGGTACTGACTGGACAATACGAAATACATACATCTACCGGCTTTCGTCTTCTTACCGTGCTTTCCAATGGATGTGTCTGTTTGATATGTTTGATATTGCTTACTTCTCTTACTTTGCATCCTCTGGTGACCTGTTCGTAATTAAGCATGCAGTTATTTCTTTGGATTTCAGAGAGGCCTGTAAACTGTCGTTTTTTTAGATAATGCCTGATCTCTGTATTTCAGTTTATCCGAATGCCTCAAATTTATCTCACTCGGCATGTCGCTTACTGGTATTTTATAGCCTAATTTCACGATTAATTTGTCCACATTTTTCAGTGTCGTTTCCACCAGGGTTTTCTAACCGCCATATAACATTTTAAATGGCGCACCAGTGTTTTGGTGTGATACCATTTCACTTATGATGAATTCAACTTAAGAACTTTATGTTTGTTCCTCGGCCCTTTTTGTTTCAAGGATTCTGAACGCGTTGTTTGCGCGATCAAGGTTTAGGTTGCCCAAGTACGATCTTGCGTAGGGCCCATTTGTTACAACGCCCTAAATTAGTGAAGAGCAACCCTTCTATGTCCACTCGGTTTTGTTATATGTCACCGATTCCTCCTCAACCGAGTGTCGTCAACGTAGGCCGCCACACTTCTATGACTCATCTGATTATCACAAATTTTTCTGCTTACCTACTTACACCATTAATATGCCCAATAATGTCTACCTTCCTTTAGTCTATTATGCACTTCAGACTGCATCGAACATCGCTTATTCGGTTTTTGATTTTAATTATTTATTCGTCTATAGGTCATGCCGAGGCGGATACCTTCTACTGTTTCAATAACCTAATGGCGGAAATACATCTGAACTTCATACGGAAGCTCGATAATGGTCGCTTGCCGAGTATTGGTAAGTTCGCACTGAAACCTTTCTCATAGGATTATTGCATAAATGCTCGAAGGGTCTGCTTGTCATCATCAAACACATCCACCACTCTATATCAGTCTTCCTTTCTGGTTGGCATAATCCTTCTCATATTGCACAGCAGAGCGTTTTACACTTTCGGGGCTCAATTGTTCGCGTCTTTGCGTGTGGTTTATCGTTAACCCACTATCACTCGTTACTGTTTTTGCTGTTTGAACCATACACCGAGATCTTTTGACAGTAATACATATCTCTTTCACTGAAAAGCTTTTCTACTTGCCAATATTTGTCATTGTTCTAAACAGACAGGGTTAAGGTGCCCATACCTTGTCAGCAATATAAAGTTACGAACAGCTGGCTATCGAGGCTTACTTGCAGCTTTCACTGCGCTGCATCATAGTCAGCCATTTACTCGCACGAAACACACTAAACACGCAGTCCGTGTACGAGAGGACAGCAGATGCGCCTCTGATGCCGACCACGACCGATGTTTTGCAACGTCTCTAGCCAAGCTCAAGGCGGTCACGTGGACTCCAGCCTGGAAGGCGAGATGACCACAATACCACCCAGTTTAGACACCAGTGACTTCCGTTTCTGCTACCAAATTAACTTTTGCCCACACCGAGCCTTGCGCCACTTTACATCTAGCAGACAAAACAGGTCCCTCATTTGTTATGGAAGTTTGTCCATAGCAGCTCTTGAAGCAAGCTCTCTTCAAAGCAGCCTGGTGAAGATTGGTCACACGTCGCCTGAAGCTGATTGCCTTACCATTGCGAGTAAGTCATTGGCATCGTTTCACCTTGAAGTGGACCAATGAGAATGACGTGCCTTGAAGCCCTCCAGTAAGCGCATTACTTGAACAGACAACAAGCAAGTTTTTGCGCATCTAGTAGTTGCTAGAGTACAGGGACTTTCAATTAGGTCATACTCTCATGAACTATTTATGTTGACCCCATATTTTGGCTGTACTTACTGTCCTCCAGGTGGTCCATACAGTTTCCGCCAGAGGCGTTTCTCTCCTGATATGGGGAAGTGGCTGAGCTGTGACCCGAGTGACTGTATCAGTTATCTGTACTTTCAGCATAAACACTACATCCTCAGTAAGTAGTGAGCGGGCGTACGTAGTGCATGCCCAAACGAACGCAAATTATTCAGCGCTCTGTTTTTCTGAGGAACTAACTTGATTATCACTGCCTAGCTCTAGTCTGCGCACTGGTGCCGCCCGACACCGACGGCGACTGTGATCAGAATTGAAGGCGCGTCATGTTGTAAGAGCCCGCTTTGATAACCTTAGAGTAGGATGGTGCTCACTGTGGCCTTGCGCACGCGGCCTTTCACACCGAGGAAAACCCCCTTCAGATAGAATCGGCCTTTACCGAACGGCGTCTGTCCATCGGCATCAAAGAGACCGCAGTGATCCAGCTTTTTGGCGGGTGTTGGGTGACTCCACAATCATCAATGCTGGCAGGAACGAAGGCATTTTTGATTCATATCCACTGTGGATCCAGATCATTCTCAGAAGCTGAAATAAGCAGTGTTGACAGGAAGACCTGATATTTGGCTAACGTCGTATGGTCTTGTAGGTTTTCTACGTTCGGTCGACAGTGGGTACGCCTAGGCGGTCCTCCGAAACGCATGCGTAACTTAGCACTATCTAATGCTTGATCGGAGTACAGACAAGTTGACCAGTACGAACGGCAGTCTGAATCGCTTCCGCGCCATCTGTAGCTTATCGCTATGTGGTCAAACTGGGACCACTCTTGAGTTTATGAAGACGGGCGCTAGGTAGCAGTCTGTCTCTTCGAGTGTCGTATACTAGTGCTCGAAAGAAACAAGCGATGATCAATGCAGAGTCAGTAGCCGGTCTCCACTGTTTGATCGACTGCTACCGAAGCCAAAACTACCTCCAAATGGTGCCCGCTTGGTGGCAGGCGACCTACTCGTGCTTTTACATCTGTGGCAAAAATGACAATGTCAGTCTTTTTATCCGTACGCAGAATTTCATGTAGTTGTTGGTAAAAGTAATCCTTGACTTCATCCTGGCTACAGTTTGTAGGAGCATAGGCGGATACGACAAATAAAGCGCGTGTAACACCTGGACGTTTACTTAACTTACATGAACTTCGTGGTCTTACTGCACATCGCTGTCTGTTGACTGGGATCCAGTCAAGCAGAGCGGACTCAGCCTTGTCACTCAGAGCAACCTCAACACCATCCTGTCCAGAAGCGGCAGCCTCTGGTTTGCAGGAGAGACCCTTCTGATGACGGTGGTGAAGTCCTGCAATCTAGTTTCTGAGAGGCAACAGATGTATACCGAGAGCGTCTCAAGAGTGCGGGTCAGGCATGCTTGCCGTCCGATCTGCATCAGAGTGCGAACATTAAACCCTGCGAGGCTGAATGGAAAACCAGGTCGAAGAATAGCTGGGTCTTCGGTGGAGTGTGAAAAAATATCAGAAATCATTTCAGGGTAAAGAATTCTTTTCGGTAAATCTCATCAGACCCAAACGTTTACATAACAGTGATTGTGGAGATAGCGTCAACTGGGGCTGGGATTGACTTCTTGACTGTTTGAATGACCAAAATCGATAACCTGAGACAGAGATAGAGATGGTAGACCAAGTAAACTAAATAAACATGTGTACACAAGGCTCATTAGTACAAGGTAATTAAGTAGGTAAGATGACAGCCAAACAACTAAGTAACGGTGTCCGTTGGCCAAGGTAGTAATATCGGCCGTATAAATCGTTTTTGGACACATAATTCCGGCTTTAGATGGTGAATGTACATAGCCTCGGCGATGGATAAGAGTTGTTTGCGGAATCCTTGGGAGAAGTGTTCAGGTAATGAGTAAATGACTTTGAAGTCATTCTCTGAAGCTGTATGGCCACATTCAAGGAGGTGCGACATGATAGAGCTGTCTGAAGACCTCATTTCGCCTCTGTAAAACCATGCCGGGATGTGTTCACGAACCCTCTGAGATAGGCGTCTCGTCGTGCGACCCACGTATCGTGCACCACAGGAGCACGAGTACTGATAAATGATCATTAAACGGGTCAACGGCGGTAGTCTATCCTTCAAGGGTTTTGTAAGCAGCGGCTTATTGTGAAAAGCGATTCTCAGGCGGGCCGCGAAATAAGTTTTCTCGACAGCATCTTTCAGGCGTCTGGATAACATATCAGCCGCAGAATCGCCCTTAAAGGGTATATGTATGAAAAGCTCTTCCTTAGGAGCAGTGCTCCTAGGTGGCTTTCGATTACATTCCTTCAAATGTTTCATGATAAATTTATTCGGATAGCCATTTTCCCTGAGGGCGTCACTGATTCTCTGTAGTTCTTCGTTGACGGTATCCGGTGTACAAATACTGCGCGCCCTGAAGGCGAGAGATCTGATTAAACTCCGCTTGTGCTGTAATGGTACTGCGCTGTGGAAGTTAGTGTACTGCCCAGTCCATGTGTGCTTTCTGTGTACCTTTCTGCTGCATGATCCGTCTGAGTTACGGATAACTTCTACATCCAAGAAAGGTAACCGGTTTCCGAGTTCGTGTTCACTAGTGAAATGGAGATTCTTGTGTGCGTCATTGAAAGCTTTCAGCAACTGTTCCGCATGCTTTTCGGATTTGCAAAGTACGAAGGTGTCATCCACATACCGTACGTACATTTCGGTTTCACGGATGTGCGTTGCAAGTGGGCCATGTTCCAATTTCGCCATGAATATATCAGCCAGCAGCGGCCCCAAAGGAGATCCCATGGCCACTCCGTCAATCTGAGTGTGAAAAGGCTGTGGTCGCCGGGCATTGAACGCCAAGAGTTTGACTCTGACTTCTGTCGATTGAGACCAGTGAGCTGCTGTTGGTGGTGGCCGGGGATGACATAAGTGTAGTTGAATAATGGGACGTGGGACGATCTCTGAGTGGAGATTCAACAGTAGTGACAGTAGAGTAGGTAGACATAACAAGAGTGAAAGCGGTAGTAGTGTCCGTTCATGATTCATCAGTGGGTGTGATACTACCCGGTTTCTCAGACCGAAGTAGAGGGTTATGCTAAGGGGCCGTGCTCCGAGCCTTTGATCATGGATCTAACCTACAAGGCAGCAGGGCGATATGAGAGCGTCGAAACCCGTTGGGAACCGGTGACCAGACAAGTGGTTCGTACGCCTTTTGGTCCTGCATAGCCCTAGGGGCCTAACACACTCTAGTTACAATACCACTCAGGGAGAGGCAAGCGGCAATGACTTTATTTAATGGCAAGTCACATCTGGCACGCCACAGTGTTGTTAAGTGGACATATGTGGCTTTTTATAGGGAGAATGCTTGCCAAGGCGAAAACCTACCACTTCTTGAAACACTACCACCGAACCATTCGCTAGAGCACGATAATCCGCAACCACACAACTAGCACCACGAGAAGCTTGTTCGGCCACCCATGCAGGATAGTCGAAGGGACCACCATCTCCAGTGTGGAAGCTCAGCTGAGGCTCTTCCTCTATGCTGCATTAGCCAGCTCATTTTGAGCGCAGTCACTTTTTACGGAAAACTGTCCAGGCTGGTTAGGTCAAGGTGTCGGTTTTTTTTGGATGTTCATGAACTCCATCTGCTTACTCAGTTGCATCCCTTCCTACTTATCAGCTACAGTAGTTAAACTTGCTGTTCTGCATCATCTCGCCGGAATTCTAACTATAGCTAAGGCCTAGTTGCGATTTTATAACCATTTTTGAAAATTGTTTGTATCTGACGTCATTTTCTGTATTAGTATTGTTCTGTATTTCTAGCAGCCTCGTTTTTCTATACAAATTCAGCCAGCATTCAATCGTTTAATCAAAGTGAAATGACACTAACACTGGATTCACGTGCCCCACCGCAAATTTTGCTGGGCTTGAAGGATGACTGCTCTTAGCCTATAACCTCCCCCTCTGAAATCGGAATTCAAAGAGAATTTTCCATCGCATTATTCAAAGAAGGGCAGCTTGATCAATATATGCGGTTAGGC